TGATTCCACAAAAAATAAAAGGAATTAATGAATCATTGTGAACAACATACTTACAGCTGGGCGGTAACTCGAATAAAAAACCTTCAAGTTTATTATGCCGAATAAAAGGGAGGATCTATTCCAACGTGATTGTACGTTACCGCCTTCAAAAGAATCGAGTCCACAAGGCAGCATTTGATGGTCTATGCTTCTTAGCATAAGAAGGCCCAACCGGCCAACACTGTGGAAGGCTGATTTTAGGAGTAAATTGGTGTTTTTAAAGTGTAAATTAATCGGTTCGTGGATGCGTTTAAAAATTACGAGTATTAGATTGTGTAGTTTCTTACGTCTTTAAGTTGTTCACATCTTAAAGAAAGTTGAGGTGAAAGTTAAGGTGACAATGTGGCATCGGCGGTCCGTGCCTTGTTCTTGTTACAACCTTAACCAAAGTCGGGAGCATAAGCTAAGAGGTCAAGGCGGCGCTAGTCTAAAGATAGGATGGGGTGAATGATATAACCAATCAAATTAATCAACGACAACTTCAGCTTTGTGCAAGGCTAAAAGTGCCTAAAGCAGCCTCATTTACACGTCGATATATACATACTACCAGTGCAAAAATTCTAACCTATATGTATTATATGCTGTATTAGGTACTTTATAATATGTCTACTGTAACTCTAATATCTACATCTACATGTTGAGATAACCTGCCGAAAAGATTATAGGTATCGCATTATTAATAGTGTCTTAAACCTTTTCGACCTTACCTCCGTTTGAATGCAGAAACCTACCTATGTACCTACCTAACCTACATGAGGCTGCTTCGCCCGCCGATCTCCATGCTTCCTTGACCATCCCGCATCTCACCGCTGCGTCCGACTACGAATTCTCTGTAGATTCGTTCTAGCCGGTTTCTCTCTTGAGGACTAATACTGGCCCGGGTAGATTCCAACGCCTTTACTACGTGCCTCCAGCCGATAAGAACCTCTGTACTACTTCCTTCTTTCCCCTTCTCGCTATCATCTCCTGCAGCATGATTTACCCTCTTCTGAACTAACTTTGTTTGTTTCCTCGCTGCTTTAATTTCAGATAGCTTAGCTGCTATAGCAGCGTTCTCGGCCAGCTGGGATGATTTGTTATACCCCTTCTTCGCCTTTTCCTCTGCTTCGGCCAGGGCAGCCTCGATACCGTAGCGAAATTGGACAAAATTCCGATTGCTCGCGGCTGTGCTTGCTTTACCTCGGGAGTCAGCACCGTTACGTTTGTCGCCCGAAGGTTGTATTTCAATGTCTTTAAGCACATCATGGATGGCTTCCAACTGAGCGTTTGAGATGAGCGCCTGTAAATCAGCACCAGAAAACCCTTCTGTGCGCCTCGCGAGTTCAAGGAAGCTCTCTTCGGACGCTACCAACTCTTTACTGAGCTTGATTTTCTTGCTCAAGGCCTGTAGGATATCGGCGCGGTCTTCTACGGTCGGAAACCCGCATAGCAAGCTCTTGTCTAAGCGCCCTGGACGAAGCAGGGCGGGATCTATCAGATCTGGTCGCGATGTCGCAGCTAAGACGTACACACCAGATAATCCTTCCGCACCGTCCATTTGGGTCAGAAGCTGGTTGACTACTCGATCCGTAACACCTGTCGAGTCATGTCCTCGTTTGGGTGCGATAGAGTCAAATTCATCGAAGAAAAGCACGCATGGTTTTGCAGCAGAAGCGCGTTCGAAAAGATCACGAACGCTTTTCTCGCTAGCTCCAATGTACTTATTCAGTATTTCAGGTCCCTTCACGGATATGAAATTGAGCCCGCACTCGCCCGCAACTGCGCTTGCGAGAAGAGTCTTACCACAGCCAGGGAAACCGTATAAGAGTAGTCCGGAACGTAACCTCAAAGGACATTGTGCAAATATCGGCGCGTATTTTGTTGGATATTGTAATGTCTCGAGTAAGATTTGCCGTGTCTCCTTCAGGCCACCGATCGAGTCGAATGTGGTTGTCGACGTCTGCAACGGGACATTCCGGAGAGATGCCGGGGTGAATCCTTTGAGAGCGTTATCGAAATCGGCGCGACCCAGTTGAACAATGTCCAGTGATCCCTTCAAAGGCTCCTCACTGACAGACCGTATTAGAGCTTCATTACGAGCTCGAGACACAAGAAGAATTAGATCTCCCGGCATGTAGCCATCGGTCTCCCCGGCAAGGTCGAGGAAGTCCAAATCTGGGTCTAAAAGGAAACCATCTAACTTTGGGTTTGTAGGAACGGAATTGCCCGGGCTACGTTGATCCGCACCATCCATCCACGTGCCAGCATCATCACCGCCCACACTCCCATTGGCAGTAGTAGGACGACTACCGCACGAGCCAGGCGCCTGTAAAGACTCTGGAGCCACGGTTTGCTGTTTGACAATCGTCTCTAATACTTTTCTCCGGGCGTCTTTATCCGGCGCTTTTAATTCGACGATTTCCCGGACGACGTGGCCTCCAATGATTACGTTGTTGAGTGACTCTTTGCCTTGGGCAGTAGCTAGGAGAACAACACCCTTATCGCGTCCACAGTACTGACGCACAATCGAACTGATAGTCTCACTAACCTGTCTGCTTCGGCTATTGTCGTTCCCCACCTGTAACTCGGTTTCTACCGGGCACAACTTGTCCAGATCGTCGAGTATGACAAGCGCTTTCCCACCGAGTCTTGCGCCCCAGCTAGCACCCATGAATATTCTATGCAACGTTTCTTTGATAGTAGAAATTCTGCTTTCATCATTGACGAGCTTTCTGCATGGAAAGTAAGTTGTGTGGAATAGAAATTCCTCTCGCAGTGTCTGGGCTAAGGACTGGACTACAGCTGTCTTGCCTGCTCCTAAGGCACCGCTTAGGAGGACAGACGACATATGTGAGAGGTGGGATTTCAAATCGGTTAGGAGTGAGTCGATTCCAACTAGAACCGAGTCGCTTGGAGGCTTTTGTTCGTTTATCTCATCGTCCACTAACCAAGCTGGGCGAGGAGCTGGCATTTGTACCTCAATCGGCACGGACTTTTCAGATCCAAGGTACCAACTCAAATGTTCCTTGGAATTGGAATCCAGATTTGCGCCCTCAAACTTCACAATGCCGCCCTCCCAGCCGTGTGACAACTCAAGAGTGTCGTATACTGGCAATACCATCCCGTCGGTTAAAGGGCCGTGCAATAACCCGTTAACTTTGCCCTTTTGACCATAAATATTAGATATCCTTCTGGATGCTTCCTCTTTTTCAACTTTCGACTCTCCACCGAATTTCAAGCCATCTGAAGTTCTAAGATCTCCAATTGAAAATGGAGACACTTTCAATTTTTGTATCGCACTACGCGATAACGGCGCCGGCGCCGGTTCGATCTTTGTAATTCCTCCAACGACCCCTGAACAACCGAGCATCGCGCATAAAGGAGTAGAGAGAGCGATGGTCTGGGTTGTCGGGGGGTCATCCCACGGACGTAGTTGGGCAACGACCTTCTCAGTCGCTTTTGTGGTCTCGCCATTCGTCACATTTTCTTGCTGTTTTTGGGGATCAAGAGGAGGTTGGAGCCCAGCTGGTTTGACAATATTCACAGCAACCCACGTTACACCGCGGAATTCTTTTGATAGCAGAAGATCTCGATCAACCCATACGCTCAAGTCCTGCGGCGCTGATTCTTCATCAAACCATTCGTCGCAAAGTTTCCGGTCAATTCCTCTTAAAAACAAGCTTGGCTTCTTTTCTTCCCGCGCGCTCTTCCTCCGCACTGTACTAGCCGAACTCTTAGCGCTTCTCCTCGATGTGCCACCTACACTGCGGTCTTCCCGTGTGTTCTTGGATGGTTTAGATCGCGTTTTTGGCGCAACGATGACTTCAGCGTCGGGTGCGATTTTCACGAACGGGATATCTGCCGAGGGAGCGGGTTCGAGAGACGAAATCTTTATATTGGCTGTAGATGTGGGCGAAAGATGGAGAGTCAAGGGATGCGTGCTGGGAGGTTGACCCGGCAAGGCGGTGTACGTTGGATTCGGGAGCGCGCGGATTTGTGATAATAAATTTAATTCTAAGAAGGTCGCGTGTAACTCTATGATCTCCCAGTCTTCGGGCGTCAGCGGTTCGATATTTACTGTATGTGCCAAAGGAGGGTCAACATGTATTATGGCCGTAACCTTCTGACCGTCTGGTAATCCAACGGTACGAGCTAAGGTAGCGTCAATCTCGACGGAAGCTACCTCCTGATCTCTTCCACTACCACGTGTGCCACTGATACCATCACGATCTACTATAGGTGCTATCTTGCGTTTGCTAGGCATTCCCGTCCATCCGACATAGAGCGATCGTTGTGACGAGGAGCCATTGGCTTGAGGGGAGCCATTCGCGGGCAATGGGACGCGATAGTTAAGTTCGACAACGACATTTTGGGCAGGCTATGGTGACAATTTAGTAACAATTCAGTATATATAAGAGCGAGCGAGGGCTTACAGTATTGACGGTCACAAGTAGGTTGACTAGCGACGTCGGGAGGTTCACGAGACAGTTCTTAAGGTGTACAAGGGATATCTCAGCGGCAACAGACTGCGCGTTCTTCCGCTGAGATGGAGCCATGTCGATTCAAGTATTAGTAGATTGAATTACACCTCAAGCACTATGTAGTGTCTTCGCGAGTTGGTTACGAGCTTTCAAACATGACTTAAAGTATTACAATTTAAGAATTGTAGCTTTCCATAACACTAAGAAATATCCCTACCTAATGCATATGCCGTGGCAGCTGCATGAACCGAGGCATTGATCGATTATCCAAGGTACTTCAATACTTAGGTACATAACCATATGCAGGTACCTAGGTACCAAGTACTTGCAGCTGCTTCTACATTTGAAATAACTTACCTAACAATGACCCCAAACTTCAGCTTAAGTGGAGATACCACTAGCCACATGGCTAGCACTTTAATAACTGGGGCTGAAGAGGCGCGCGAAAATTCGCGTCGACGCGTTATCTTGCAGAAACTGGGTCCATTAATCTTCTTGTCCCCTGTTACAACTTCCAGCCTTTATGTTCTCAAAAGTTACAGATTCAAATGTACACTAATTATTGCGACTTGCCTAATTCCGTCGCAATTCTTCCACATCCCACATCTCACTTCACTCACGAAGATTCTTAGGAGTTGATTTAATTCATAATGGCTCTCCTTCAGTATAAAAACATCGTCGACTACGAGGCGCAGCAAGGTCAGTCGCCAATATTCATAATTACCTATGCTAGAGCTAATGGAATCTGTTAAATATAGCTGCTTTTGAGAACTTCCTCGAAAAATTCAAGACCTCGCCAGAGCAGACATTAACCCATGCCATTGGCCAGATTAATATTGACGAAGATGATTTGAGTGACGAGTACGATTTTATGGACGATGATGAAGAACATGAGCGACGCCGACGAGAAAAAGCTACGGCGAGGCTACCAAAACACAAATACGCCGATTTAATGCAAAAGCTCGCAGACCGCGCGACTGACGAGGTTGTAATAGAGCTAGATGACATTTCCCAAGTAAGATTAATCCATATTCTCTTTAGGCGAAATGCTGCTAACAGCAAGTAGTGGGAGAATGATACAAATGAAGGATTAAAACTCGTAGAGTCTATCGAAGCAAACACCAAACACTACGTCGAGATCCTATCCAGAGCTATCGATAAAAAGATGCCCCCGCCTACGACTGGCATCACGTATGATCAAATGGTCTGCCCTCTCGTCTCCGTTCTACTTGCTGACACAAGTCTAGGTTCAAGGACGATGTTTTGGACGTAATCATGGAAAGGAGACAAGCCCGGAATCGGGATCTCACTGAAGCAGCTGCCAACACCAATAACCCCGATTTACTCGAATCTACCTTCCCGGCTCAGCTCACGAGGAGATATACACTTGTTTTCAAGCCCAGAACATCCACCAGCGAGAAGCCAGTTAAGGCCCTTGCCGTACGGCAAGTACGAGGCGAGCATCTTGGTCATCTTATCACAATCCGTGGCATCGCGACCAGAGTATCAGACGTGAAACCCATTGTGCAGGTAGGAGCGTATACGTGTGATCGTTGCGGATGTGAAATCTTCCAGCCTGTCAACGATAAGCAATATGCGCCCCTTACTAGCTGTCCATCCCAGGAATGCAAGGAGAACCAGTCAAAGGGCCAGCTCTTCCAGTCGTCGCGCGCATCCAAGTTCCTACCTTTCCAAGAAGTTAAGATTCAAGAACTGGCAGAGCAAGTACCTATTGGCCAGATCCCCCGAACCCTCACGGTCATGTGCTATGGTAGCGCAGTCCGCCAGATCAGTCCTGGAGATGTTGTTGATATTTCGGGAATTTTTCTGCCTACCCCCTATACAGGCTTCCAAGCTATGCGAGCTGGACTTCTTACCGACACATATATCGAAGCACACTATATTGTTCAGCACAAGAAAGCGTACGAAGAGATGATCATTGACGACAAGCTATTAAGGCGCATCAACACCTACTGGCAGACAGGTACTGTGTACGAGATGTTGGCGAAGTCGATTGCCCCCGAAATCTATGGTCACCTTGACGTAAAAAAGGCGCTCCTGCTGTTACTAGTTGGCGGTGTCACAAAGAAGATGGGTGACGGTATGAGGATTCGTGGCGACATCAACATTTGTTTAATGGGTGACCCTGGTGTAGCCAAATCTCAGTTATTAAAGTATATCTCGAAGGTTGCTCCTCGAGGTGTCTACACATCCGGCCGTGGTTCGAGTGGTGTTGGTCTTACCGCAGCCGTAATGCGCGATCCTGTAACAGACGAGATGGTTCTCGAAGGTGGTGCGCTGGTTTTAGCTGACAACGGCATCTGCTGTATTGACGAGTTCGATAAGATGGATGATAATGATCGAACCGCCATTCACGAAGTCATGGAACAGCAGACGATTTCCATTTCCAAGGCTGGTATCTCGACTACGTTAAACGCGAGGACATCGATCCTAGCGGCTGCTAACCCTATTTATGGCCGCTACAACCCACGTATATCACCAGTGGAGAACATCAACTTACCGGCAGCTCTACTCTCACGTTTCGATGTCCTATTTTTGTTACTTGATACGCCGACTCGCGAGAGCGATGCGCAATTGGCTAAGCACGTGACATACGTGCACATGCATAACAAGCACCCTGACCTCTACGATGCCGGCGGCGATGCTGCAACACAGCAGCCGAGCGTAATCTTCACACCCCACGAAGTACGAGCATACGTTGCGCAAGCCCGTACATACCGGCCTACGGTCCCAGAGACCGTCACCGAATATCTAACTAAGACTTACGTTCGCCTACGAGACGCGCAGCGCCGCGCCGAAAAGAAGAATAAGCAGTTCAGTCACACGACGCCACGAACATTGCTGGGCGTGGTACGTCTCGCGCAGGCGCTGGCGCGACTCCGGTTCGATACTACGGTCAACCGAGATGATGTAGACGAGGCACTGCGACTTATGGAGGCTAGCAAGGAGAGCTTGGCTGCTCACGAGGCCACGGGCGGTAGGAGAACGCTTAACGCGGCTAGTCGTATCTACAACTTAGTCAAGTCGCTCGCTGACAGCGGTGCGTGCCGAGCTGAGGATGACGAGGATGATGAGGAGGGTACGGTAGAACTGAGTATGCGGAAAGTGCGCGAACGTGTCCTGGGTAAGGGATTCACGGAAGACCAGTGGTTGAATGCGCTGGATGAGTACACGAATCTCGATGTGAGTTTATTCAATCTTATTTATCGCCTACGGTGGTTTAAGTTACTGACTTTGCAAAAACAGGTCTGGCAAACTGCGGGCAATGGCAGCAGGCTAGTGTTCATCACAGCGACGGATAATATAGGGGAGGAAGACGACGAGTAAGGGGATTTGTAGATCAGATAGGAGAACTAAGCGAAGCAAAGCTTCCGAATGGGATTTTGCTCTAGAAGTACGAGGATGAAAATAAGCCACGGCGTTTATGGAACCGGGATCAATGCCATCATTGATATAACGATTGAGATGCTTTCTGCCGTAGTAGCTTGCTTGTTTTCAAGCCAGTTAATGTCAGATATGAGAGAAAGCTACTTTAAGTATGAATACATCAACTATTATAGTTATTCCTTATTCTGTATCATAATATTACATAGGCCATTTTGGCGGCTCAACCTTCAAGTTCTTAAACTCTAGCAAAGGGAACTAAAAGGTACCTCGACAAGCCGCGACCAGTCTAACAATGGGGTGGGGTGGGTAGTATAGTTCGATTACGATATAAAGAAAAGCGTACATCTTGTCTTCCTCGTAGCTAGTTTGAATGGCATCTTATATCGGTATATAAACAGTACAGTCAACAGTACAGTCGAGATCGCCGTAATATTCCAATATTATTGCCACTCCCTTAATCCGCGTTACAACCCGCGTTACAGCCCGCGTACGAACGTCCCAGGTAATTTGTTGGCATAATACACTCTTACGAGATTACCCTTTAGTACAGTGGTGTATGTTCGACACGTACTCAACTCGACCTTTCTCCATCTCTAAATACATGGCCCCTATATCTTCTTTCGTACAACGTATACATATTCCCATCATACGAATACATTTCTCCAATGCAACTACAATCTCTTTGCGGTCCTTCATTCATTAGCATCCGGTACAACAAAAGTAAGTCATGACTAATTTACCTCATCACAGAATTTATATCATATCGTGCATATTCTACGCGGTACATATTGTGTTATATACATCCTTACCAGCGATATATCGTCGCCTAACCTCTAGAGCGGTAGTCGCTTCGCGGAGAAGCATGAGTAATTAATTTACACAGGCGATCTAACATCGTACAGCGCAGCTCGCTCCATCTCGCCGAGGATACCGCTACCAGCCAGGGTCCACTTCTCGCTGACGTTCTTCTCGTCGACGCGCAGGCGAAGAATGCCGCTCGCAGCCCAGTATTCCATCAGCGCGCGGGCTTCCGGCTTGGAAACGCCGCGGAGGTTCAAGACCTTGACGCCCTTGAGAGCGTCGAACACGCGCTCGTCGTACTTGGCGAAGAACGGGTCGCGAGGCGGGATCGGCTCGCCGGCCTGTGCGGCAGCAGCTTGCTCTAGAGCCTTCTCCATCGACGGGATGACCAGGGTGTTGCCCTTGGTGCACACGCCCAGGATCGCCGCGCCGTTGGCAAAATTCGTCTTGCCGCCTAGGGCGTCCGTGAATAGGCGAAGTAAGCTCAGGTCGTGGCTGTGGATGAGCTCGAAAGCGGGCGAGCGGTAATCGCTGATGCGCATGATGTGGCTAAGGCCGTCAAGCGCAAACATTACCGGTGGACGGCCTGGTAGTAACAGTTCCTTCCAGAAGGCCTGGAATACGGGCCAGGCAAACTCGGGTTCCTTGGTAGCGTTGGCGAGGGCGGCGAGCGTCATACCTCGGTTCACCGAGATAGGGAGGTGCATGTGGTCTAGCTCGACCTTGTACTGTGATAAAATGGGCTGGTTGGCCTTGTAGATAGCCTGGAAGAGCTTGACGGTGTATACGGGCTGGGAGAACTGCTCAGAATTGGGTATGGGAGAATACTCAGTCGCCGCAGTGGTCAGTTCTTGCGCTGGATGTCCGAAGAGCGGTTAGCCTTGAATTATACCAGACTGAAGGGACTTTTGCTGTACCTTCCGGGATGTTAATTACAACCCATTTGTTTAAGAAGCCTGTTGCCAATCCTTGAAGCCCCAAGACACTTTTCCCCGACGCCCTATCTCCTGTAATAACCAGTCTCAGAGTCTCTTTCTTGTCGACAGCATCCGTGAGTTGCTTCGCCAGGTCTACCGTCTCCTTCCTAATTAACGTATGCGGCGACCGAAATAAGCCCCAAGTCTGCGTCGGCTTGAACGCCTCACTGGCCCTCAGTTGGTCTAACAGCACCTCCGGAAGGCTGAAAACCTGGCCTACGGAACTAGCGTCCACGACATTCTCGGCCGTCAATTCGCTAAGACCTGGTACTTCCAAGGCATTATTGTTGCTGAGCTGAACGCGCTTCCGAAATGCCTTTCTTTCCCCAGATACCGGCGGTTTACCCTTATCGGCTGTTCGCTTCTTCCTTCCCAATATTAACTTTTTACCGGTACGAACATGCCTTGAGAGGTTTGTTTCTTCCTTCTGGCCGGGCTTGGCTCTCAGTTGCGCCGAAGTGGTGAACGCTGCCGCTGCCGCTGGGGTCGACGGAGCTGGTAATAATGATGCTGGCACGAGTAGCCGCTGCGAGGGCCGTGCTAGACACCTCCAGCAATTCGAACTCGCCATTGCTAGTGCGGATCGAATTCGATTGTCGGTCCTCAGCGAATTTCCAACATCAGAAGCTCCAATATCAAAATCGCAAAAGAGCCCCAACTTTAGGTAAATTTTAGGAATTAAACCTCTGATAAAAGCATATCAACATATCAGCATATCGGTGCGGGTCACTTTCACAGTACGCAGGTACGAAGTGCATACCTCGCAGGAAGAGGTAGCTAACAAAAAAAGATAGCGGAGAAATTAGCACTCCGATCTGCTATCGATAAGTTCGATATGCCTGCGCTACCAGCATCTGACCAAAAATTCTTGGGAAGCGCAATTGGAACTTCATTTTTCTTTTGGTCTAATATCCCACTCACGCCGTTACAACATTACGACATTACAACGCAACGCATAAAAGATACAATCTAGCTACACAAGGAGGGTATTACTACCAGTTAAAATCTACGAAAGACTTATCACCAACTCATCCCGGTCAATTCCGACCACGAAACCCTCAACAATGGCCCCGCCATCTAAGCCAAAGCTCGACGTCGCCGTCACCAAGCCAACACCCTACACCTTCGACCTCGGGCTCCTCCTCGCCAACGATCCTAACCCGCTCTCCACATCCGTCCCGGAAGAAGTCGACTCCGCCGCTCTAGAAGCGCAGCTCGCCGCTACCGCCCGCGACGGTGCGCAAGCCCTCATCAACCAGCTCCTAACGACGCTCCCACTTGCCGCCACCACATCCGGCGTCTTGCTCACCCTACCTCATCCCACGACCCCTCTACCGCGTGAGAAGCCCCTACCAGCAGCCAAGCCCCCTACGAAATGGGAGCAATTCGCCGCGCGCAAAGGCATCAAGCCCAAGACGCGCGAGCAGCGACACGCCAAGTCCCAAAAGTACAACGAGGAGACGGGCGAATGGGAGCGCACGTGGGGCTACGATAAAGGTGGTGCTAAGAAGCGTCGTGAGGAAGGTATGGTTCAGCAAGACTGGCTTGTAGAGATCGACGAGAAAAAGGACCAGGAGGAAAAGGCCGCCAAGGATAAGAAAAAGAGGAGAAAAGCTTGATGGACTAGGATTGTGATGCAGAGAAGTAAATAGTAGACACGAGGCCTAGCAATTGCTAGGAGATGCAGACAGGTGAAAATGGCAACTTGAGGGGGCACTCTGTTGATACCCACGCATTTCGAGTCGCAATAGACAGGCAGGAGTTTGGCGTTTCCGGCATAAGACAGCAGGTTTCGCGGGTTTGGGCATATTTGTATTGGTATTGCGGATCTTTCCACCCAATGTATGGTACAGATTCTTTTCTAACCTTTCATATTCAAAAACTCCGTCGCTACGTTTTGTCCGACTCTCCTCCGCCCTTCTTCTACGCAACGAAGCGTTTGCCGTGTAGCTGTTGTGTTAGCACGCAAGGCGCATTGGCTATAGTAATTCATGCGCCGTTATCCAAGATCCACCACCAACTTATTTGCTACGACATAGTATGCCGGATAGATCGACGTGGAGCGTCTAGGCAATAGTAGGTGTTATGTACTTAGGTATGTAGCAGCGTAAGGCCCTTCATCTGGTTAGCTCTCTTGAAGGATCCGAGTTTGCGGTTGTTGAGAATCAAAAGACGATGCGCGCCGCCAATTCATAAAGCCTGATCGACTCAGGATAATCGTGAAACGCTAAGATATGAAGAAAATTTTGAAATCGTAAACGGAGCGTAATATCGTCAAAGAGCACCGCCAAGCCAAATGCTAACCACATTCACATCCTGGGGTATTATCAAGGCAAAACAGCTATCATCAGATCAGGATCAACCTATCCCCTACTCTCCAGTGCAGTATACCGTGACTTAAATCACCCCTTAATTATGAGAAGTTCATCGGGGAAAGAGGCTTGATAGGCGACAGCGGTCGTAGTTCTCGTTCCCCGGATCGTCGTACAGGCGCGTCATGCTCGCCGTTGACAGTCAACGAATTCGACGTTGAATATTTCGATATAGGTAGTCCTCCATTTGGTTGACCCACTGGTGCCGGCTTCTTTCTTATTCTCCCACTCTGGTGTTCGGCCGGGGGGGCCGATAATTTGCTGCTCTCAGACGAAGAAAGATTCCGATCATCATGGGCATCGCCTCCACTATGGCTCTGAGACTCTGACGAGTTCAATCCGCGAGGTAGTGGTTGTTGGAATAACTGATACTCTTCCTCGATATATCTAGCCTCGTTCCTACACCCTTGCCAACATAATCTCCAATCGCAGACAAGGAACTTAAAACAGAAGGCGTCGATTTTCATGCATGGTTGGAAACATATGCATAGATTGCGGAAGTCCATCTTATTTTTATCGGAATGTGCGAGAAGCAAGCTGAGATGGCATGTGATGGCAAAAAGGAGATAATAATTAAACGGTGACAAGTTGGAGAGCTCATCAATTAACAACTGGGGTACTTCCTCGGCGCCAGCGCACTCTCGGGAAATTCGCTCCTGGGCTTCCTTTGGGAATAGTTCGTCAGGGAGTTCACGAAGCCAGGCCTTGAACATCGAACCAATGATATTAATATCGTAAAGGTCGTTCTGTGCGAATAGATCGACATCGTATTCTATCATCAATTTAGCAAATAGCGAAATGAACCACGGCGGAATGGACAATCTACCTTCATCGAACTTCCTTTGCCATTTCTTAACCTGAGGGCCACTCCCAGGCACACGATAGAGGCCTTCAACCTCGGTTCCCTTAAGATTGAGATAATCAATCGCCCGCCAGGGGAAAGCCGGCATCCAAAATTCCGTCTTGTCCCGAGAATCTTCAAGCCTCTTAGATATCCTCGTCAACCGCGTCTGCTCGACCAATGGCAAATTGATAACCTTGAGAACGTAATGCTCGTCATCCACCCCATTATCTTTATCTGACGTACTGGCGCTACGGCCGCTTCTCCCAAATAATCCTTTGCTGATCATATCTGCTGCTCGGCTACCAGAACTTTTTAGACCGCTTAAAAATGTTGAACCGCTGCCGTTACTGTCCTTAAAAGAGGAAGGGTTGCTTCTATAATAGTCTTTATCGTGTCGATGTTCTTTGTTCCCTGGAACGTCTCGAGGAAGTGCGCGGTCGGCGGAATGATTACGTATAGTCGAATTCATCATGTTTCTAAAGGACCTCTCGTAGCCATCGGGATTCATGGGGGCCGTCTTCAAAGGCTGCAGGCCTGCCGGGGATGGGTCTCGCTCAGCCTCATGCAACGTGATTGTAATCGACTCCTTTGGGTTATGACCATCGTTATCCTTCAGCGACCTATTACGACCCAGAAGCGTGAAAGGGTTGGGTTTGTTCTTTTTCGATGAGTTGGTTTCTTGTTCATTAGTGGATGCCAACGAAACATCAGATCTGGATGGCAAGGAAGGGGTTGTTTTGTGGTTCGAGAGATCGGCGGCTGATAGGTCTAGATAGTTGGTGACGAACAAAGAATTAGCATCATGAGACTGGCGTAATACGTAACTGCACTAACTGCGCTTTCTTTGACTTCTAATTCGGCGTACCTGAATTTTTAGAATTTTTACTGGATACTCTACCCGGCATGACGGTCTTCTCCGTGCCGCGGGACATAGCCTCACTCGTCCCTGTGCTGTCCGTGTGGGTATGGTAAAGCTGATTGGTAGATCTTGACGACTTCCCAAAGCCGAAAAAGCGACTACCGCTTCTCGAGTGCTTCTCGTTTTCGGGACGAGGACATGTATCCGCAACAGTGGATGCAGTGTTGGAGGAGGGGAGGAGAGTTAAAGGTGGGAGTTCTGGCTCGTAGCGCTGGGGGGATTGGTGTCGTCGATTTTGAGCAACATGTACGCTTTCGGGAGGTTGCAGCGGCTGGGTTGGTTCAACAGGATAATCCTGATATTGCTGTGTCTGAGGTTTGCTAGGCGTGCTTGTGCTAAACTTCCCAAAGGGAGAACGAGGCGACTTGGGCGACTTAGAAGGCGTCGGGGAGATAATTTGAAGCGTAGGTTCACTCCTCGGTGTAGGGCGCGGGCTTGGTCTATCTGTTCCCAGGGCATTGGCATCTGAGTATGTAGGGGCGCTGGCGCTGGTACTGGAAGCGGAGTGCTGGCCCAAGGAATCCGAATCATCAGCCAGGGACAACGGATTGGGGACTGGCCTTCGGCGCATTATGGATGGTATGTATTCCCCTTATTGTCCTCCGGTCAAATACAAATCGGGGAATATCAGGGACGAGCCTGATTCGCTCTCTGCCGCAGGAGGACAGACTAAGTCGTGCGCGGTGGAATGCTGTAACAAATATTGGGGTATCAGATGGATCGTAGGAAGGATTAGCAAAGCGAAATAGGGCAGACTTGGTAATCTGCGACAAGAGGCGCCAGACCTAGGCCGATTAAGGGTATTTTTCTGGGAGGGGAATAATGGTATGGGGAAAGATATTGTACAACTATAAACTTTTAGAACTTGCTGGCGGCGACATACAAGAAAAAAGAAAAAAAAGAAGACCGCCCAAAGATCCAACTTTGAGATTTCCAAGGGAAAACTGAATTGGGGCTGAATTGAATATTCAGGATTGATCTGACGAATTGATGCCTCTGGGAGAGTTCTGGCAGCACGTACAGTAGCTGGCAGGGGATAACTGGTACCCACATCCACGGTTGTGTCGGTCGTCGTACCTGACGAGTTGCGAAAATGCGCTAGGTCTCAGGGGTTGATACGACGTACATGTAACTACATATCCAGATGTATCTACGTACCTCATATAATGGCAGTAGCAGAAAAGCTAAAATAGGACTCTAATGGAAGTTCGAACCTCCCGGATTAGGTACTCTTTCAGTTAAGTTGAGTAATAGAGGTAGGTATCACAAACTTCGGATTAGCTTTGAGCTTGTTTGAATTTCTCTTGCCCTTCTAAGTCTAGTCTACTTACTAGAGACAGAGAGAGAGAAGGCTTAGGACATAAGACATGACGAAGTAGTGATACCCTCACTTGAATATTACTTAATATGTATAAACCCAATTGCCGAAATACATGTAGTATTTATTGGCGAGCAAAGATGTTAGCCTGAAGATAGTACTACATACATAGATAGTATGTAATGTCAGATGTTGGAAAGTTACTTGCGGCATAATTTGGAAGTTAACCTTTTAAGATTTCACTTTAGCTCGATGTTCTTTGTTGTTAGCAAGATACCTAAGTATCTAAATGATCAAAACTAACCTTGTCCGTATTGCTCCTCCAGCAAATAAACAGGTATCTTCATACGATAGAAAGTATTGCACTGATATATTGAATATTCAGTTTCTAAAGCAGTATGGTCTCGGTATGTTTTCATAGAGGTTCGATTGGCCTATCGACCTATTGACCGCACATAACCGGGCTTGCCGGGGTCCACCTTACTTCACGTACTATATATGTAAAGGCGCGTAATAAGATTTTAAATCTGAAACAGGCTCTTACGCATAACCACACTTTCCATCGTACCCATATTTTCCTCCGCGAATGTGGCCAGACTTAGCGCTGCAGACTTAGTTTATTAGGCATCTACATACATACATACTAACAACACAGGTATGTACCTACATATGCATCTAGAGTATCTGATATGCAAGTAGATTTCAGCTGAACATTATAACAATGAGGATATATATTGTCGTAGTAACATTCATATTTTATACACCAGACATTCTTATATCTCACACATCGATTTACGTATGATAACCTCCGAGAAAGTCTCATGTTCCTGAGCGTAGTCTGTCTTACGTAGTCAAATTCTAATAATAGGCTCACATCCATACCTCACGAGGCGTTCGACGGAACATCCTCCCGATAATATGTACATTAATTCTTTAACAGATTCGCTCTATTCACCCCGAGTACATCATCCTCCATAATGCCCCGACGCTGACGATTCTCTTTTAGGTAGAGCACCGAAGCTTTCTGGTCTCACATTCGAAGGGGTAATATATGGCACATAAACTTGTAAGCCAAGAGGTATAAGACACAAACTACAAGGAGTAACCCAGATAAGTTACGGCCGCCGTAGTCGTATATGCGAGTCATGTACCATGCCATAAGCTCGGAACGCTAATAGCTTATGGTCTAGAATTAGAAACATATTAGGTTAGGTTGCTGGGAGATTCTTCAAAGCAAACACATGTATGGGTGCATTGTCTCTTCAATCTGCCTTCTTATCATCCATTTATTGCATGTCGACTATCCATATGTACATAACACATGTTAGAGCATGTTAGAGTACTCCGTATTGTACATGTGGCTAGGTTATAAGGTTAGGTAGTTCCACTACTCCAACTTGTCCCACCTAGCACGTGCTCTACCTATCGGGCGGGAGCTAACGGAACTTCAATGTTTGCACATGCAAAACATCTTTCTTCATTACCTACCTACCTCTTACATCTTCTTCAGTACCTCAGGTACACCTATTAGTTGTTATCACATTTAGCTTGCTACATGTCGGGAATTCAAGAACTTCCAGATGAGCTTCAGCTCGCAGCCGCAGCTCACGTCAAGTATATTCAAAGCTTAGACACGAAGAAGGATGAATATGAGTACTGGCTCACCGAGCATCTCCGTCTAAATGGACTATATTGGGGACTGACGGCGCTACATTTACTGCGACATCCCGATGCGCTCCCCCGAGGCGAGGCTATAGACTTTGTCCTCTCCTGCCAGCACGAAAGCGGCGGGTTTGGTGCCGCACCGGGGCATGATGCTCATATGCTCTACACGGTCAGCGCCGTGCAAATCTTTGTCCTGCTTGATGCCTTAGATGAGTTAGAGAAGCGTGGTAAGGGCAACGGTAAGGCTCAAGTGGGCAAATGTGAGTCAGCCAACTACGTCCCGGTTTTGCTCGCCGTCGCTGTCGCGCAAGGACTAACTTAGTCTTCAGTCCTGGCGGATCTTCAAAATCGGGAAACGGGCACATTTGCCGGCGACGAATGGGGCGAAGAAGACACAAGGTTTTTGTATGGCGCTTTGAATGCTCTCTCGCTCCTTGGCCTTTTGCATTTGGTCGACGTCAATAAAGCAGTTGACTATATTGCTGCCTGCGCCAATTATGACGGCGGCTACGGTGTTAGCCCTGGAGCTGAGACACATTCTGGTCAGATCTTTACTTGTTTGGCCGCTCTCTCCATTGCCGGGCGCAAAGATTTGATCGACGCTGATAAGCTGGGTGGCTGGCTCAGCGAAAGACAAGTCGCCTGTGGCGGCCTAAATGGGAGACCGGAGAAGAAGGAAGATGTGTGCTACAACTGGTGGGTACTGAGCAGCCTGGAAATGATCGGTCGTACGCATTGGGTTGATCGGGAGAAGCTGATCAAATTTACCCTGAGCTGCCAGGACAGCGAGCGCGGTGGACTATCGGACCGACCTGGTGACATGGTTGATATCTGGCACACGTTCTTTGGCCTGACTGGCTTAAGCTTGCTAAAGTATCCAGGTGTCGAAGCTATTGACCCTGTCTATTGCCTACCAAAGTACACTATAGACCGTGTATTTGGCAAAGCAGGATAACTGCACAGTAACTTCTAGCAAATATCCGCCCTGGTGATCTACTCATACACCTCGATCCCACACGTGAAATTTTCTTCTTTTTTTCTTTTTTTTTCTTCCTTTTTTCCCGCTCCTTGGGGCCTCGCCCGTCGGTGGAAGGCTAGTACTACCTTTTATTGCCTGCATAACCAGAGCCTGGTCAGAAAAACATCTCTTGCAATCTAATAACCTACTACTGTAAGTCTAAATGGTAGTTAGGATACAAGGCAAGAGTAGATAGATAGATCCTGAATGTCCTTCCTCTTGCTCATAGTTTATTTCACCATGACTAGAGGCATACGGGTTACACTCAGACATTTCATTCATGTTAATACAAGTTTCATACATTCTAGTTCCCCCCTGGGAATTTTCTCCATCGGCATTTACGTTCTATTCCATCTTTCACGATCTTCCAATATTTAGTTCTCGTTCAAGTCCATTCTCTACTTTGCTACCAGTATGGTACGTATATTTAAGTCTTAGCTGTCCGCTTCATGATTACTTTCAAGCCAGGGACTGTCAATTCGCATATTGACCCTTACATAACATCAAAAGCGGTATCTTTTAGTATTATTCACTCTGGCCTGATTGTGCGTGGCTGGTCAAGTTATGACCCGCGCGGCCTCCTTTCCAATATTAGAATAGTAATGTGCCCCTATATACACCTAATATCACCTTATGCGCTATCCTTCTTTCTCTGTCCACAGTAGAAGCCAAGCCCATAGTCATCCGTAGTAAAGGTGATCTTTGAGCCCTTGGGGAAATAGAAAACATCGCCAGGGACAGCGTGCACTTTGTTGCCCGTTTCATCGCTTATATCAAAGCTACCCTCAACAATCACCTTCACTATAGTATCACGGATCCATCAGTCAATTGATTATTTACATACCTTTTTTCGAAGGAAACTTACTCTCGTGATACGTATACTCGTATACAAGCGGTGTTCCCTTCTCCAAACGGTAGAACCCAGCCGAGATAGGTTTCGTGGGGTCAAGATTCTCACTGTTGTCTGGTTAGAGAAGAGACGTGCGATGGCCTATGGCAGAACTTACGACGTCGCAACATCTCCTAGGAATGCGTTTTCGTTTGCGATTAGCGGCGGCTTGGTACTCTGCGCATTAGAGTAGTAGGACATTGGAACAGGACCTTTTGCGGTCGAGTCCGTCTTTGATTTGGCCTTGCTAATAAAAGATCCCATATTGTAAATGGATCAACTGTCCCAGAATGAATCCTTTAGTGCTCTTTAATGAGACTCGAATTTTTAGAAAAGATGTATATATAGGCCTCTATCTATACTATCGAGATATCTAGGGGTCGCTGATGTATAGCAAGCTTCGTATCCCGAACTCGGCCACAACAGCTTTCTCCACTCCGGTTCACTACCTCCGGTCAGGAGATAACAGAATACCGACTTACATTTTCCTATAGCACAACTCGAATTGAGATGGGGAACTTGTAACTAGCTATGTTCCTGTTTGCGGTCTATTCAGTGTCTCTGGTTGGGCGCCCGTCCCTGCATTATCTCGTCCAGCTCCAAGATCCGCATCCTATCTACCCCAAATTTAGGTATCCATCCCGATTGGACGGGGATGGTTCGGCATCGCGCGTAGATAAGCTATACTTTACCTGCATCCTCGAATTGCGGAGTTCGTGATCGTCGCTATCCTCCGCTAGCACTATCACTTTGAGACTTTTTGGGATACTGGCCTATACACATCTCGGTATCGCCACTCAACTTCCCCCGCACGTGCATCTGTAATATGCCATCGACAGATCCCCATTACAGCATCATTCGGTTGACTTCAACATATATCTTCATACATGATATTGCGAATTTACTCGCTATAATTGTTCTCAATTTCTAACCAGCCAGGTAATGATATTGTGCTTTGTAACATGCCTAAGTTACCACTTACACCTCGTTAACATGACGATCGGTATACTTAATCTTTGCTATAAATAAATCATCTCCTTTCTAATTGTCTACATGTTCGATGTCAAAGAAACCGCGCTAGGAGTTGAATAGGGAATGATGGTTAACCATTGAGAATTAAACAAGAATTAAACGCCATGATTACAATACTCATCCAAGTCTAATTACTCCGTCGGGACCGGCGACTTCGAAATGCCCATCTCCACCAACACCTAAGGATTTTAGATTAAGAAGTACCAAGGATGATCGAAAGTCTGCCCTAACAGTAAACCACTCACCCTCGGCCTCGCGGCCTTCTTTTAGCGTCACCAACAGGCAGGTCTTATCTTGCATAGTCTGTTCATCAAGAATGACTAGGTGCCCAGAAACAATCCCGTGCCTGAGATCGAAATGCTTACGGGAAAACTTGAAGACATCTTCAATGCCCCAGCCGTGAAAAAGATATGAAGTTGGTTTTCCTACTGGTGCTCTCGTAGGCTTCGTGATAGCCTCGACGTCGAGAGTATCGACTAATACAGCTATTTCATCATAATTAGCGTGGTCCTTAAGGGGGTTCATGTCGAACGGTTGAGACTGTAGTCAAACACGTACCAATCCAATCCACACCCTCAAGCTCTGGCGCACCCAAGCTCCGCGTAAAGAATTCGTCTAATACCTATTGATTCATAATTAGTAAACTGCCGATTTTCCTACCAGGTTTCACACACTTCTTCAGATATAGGGGTTGTACAGAATACAGGGATGGTATCTTGTAGGCTGTCTGAATTTGTCATATTCAGCGAGCTATTGATTGGGAAGTTGGGTAAATAAAGCCTTGGGTGGCTGGTTCGTTTATATGATAGGATTGAGTTATATCGAATTAATCGGAGATGATCTGCTAAATATCGGAGACTTTGTAGAAGTCGTAGTAAATTCATTAGGTCATATGATAAGCGCCATGATAGAATCTCAACGTTAGTTTACGAGATGAAAGTACTTTGTGGTATACTTGATTACACCCAGTCCTCCCTAGGTACAGTGCTCAGGATAGACTTGCTAATTTGGCTATAACCTGTCAAAGACTACGAGCACGGATTATTTCACTCGAGTATAGAAGGTACCTAATGCATGGAAAATCGACTTCTAACCTCTGTGGCTTAGAATAGGGACATTGTTAACAGATACGCGTCAAAGAATTATTAACACATGAATTGAAAATTAGAGGAGGGATTTTCTCGTTTGGACTTGTTTACTGGCAAGTGTAGACTGGACAGAGACAAAGCACCCCCTGGGTACCTATTACCTAAGGGATCAAATACATAACCATATTGTCGACTTTAGTTAAATGAACCACCAGTATGGTTATCCAGGCCCTCCTTAGATCTTGTATTACTTTCGGTTCGAAGGTACGATTTTTCTAGCATTGGAATCGCTGTTGCTTCACCCAGTTGCACATCACCTGGCCGACACAACCGCAACACTTACACGCCTATACCATCTCATTAGCAGACTACACGGAATTTGGGTTTCCTTGCGTACCTTACCTTTTTAGCTCGTTCGTCATTATTCGCCCCGCCGATACATGATAGTGTTTGATTGTCCCGAAACCGGAATTGATTGTAGCAGGCATTGGCGTTGATGACATCGGCGCAATCATCTGTTGCCGCAAGCTCTCGACTACATTCAGGGACTTGTTGGCCCAGAATCAAGGAGAACCAGAATGATGTGAGCACGAAGGGGACTTTCATCGTGAGGATTGTGAGGTAATTCGTTCTCAAAGCGATTATATGCACAAGGAACGGAATTTAAGGCTGTCTGGCAAATTTGTCCACAGGTAGAAATTGAAAGCACTCTGTGAATGGGCTAGATAGCATCAGAGCAGATATACTAGTTGAGATCTTGAATATCATTTACCACCATGTAATGTCTCGGTGTAGTTTAATTGCCACTTTAGCCGGACATGCCAGTTATGATTGGAGCTACAGCGCCGAGCTTCATGAGGTAAGAGACAGCTAAGAATTGATCGTCCGTCGTCATTCGCCAAGAATAGCAACTTTTTTCATATTATATGACAACTATAGTGCGGGGAGTGTGAAGAAAGGGGGGCGGGATTCATGATTCCGGTCTAATAAAAGATATCCCAACACATGGGTCTGCTGTAACCCGGGAGATATTTATTTCGAATTTCGAAGTTTCATTGAATTCATCTCCTTGAGCCAGCATTCCCACCGGCATTGATAAGTTCCTAATATATATGTACTGGTGCAGCCTTACTAAACATTACGAGGCATAATGATAGAGTTATACATATATTATCATTGTCTTGGGTAAAGTACAGAACAATAAGTAGTAAGGGATAGGGTCTTATACGAACAAATGTGCATATTTTAAAAGGGACAGGAAAGAAAATATTATCTACCGAGTAGCCACTAGAATCAACATGAAAAATACGTCAAAGGTAGTAAATTACTGGACAAGGCTACCCACCGTCCGTCTACCGAAGTTCTGGGCAATGTTAAATTCATGTTCAAGTCCCGAACCAGTAACCCTTCTCCACATTAACCGGAATCAAAGCTAGACGGGTTCGCCTATCGAAATGCTCTCCGATATTAATGAGTAATATCCTCCGAGACCGAAAATTAAGATGGGTTTTCTGTCGGGTGTGGGTGAGACGGCAATAGTTTACGGAGTAGGAGATGACCGTCATGGTCAAGACCATAACTACCTCTCTATTACTTACCTAGTTATACCTTTCTAACTTCGATTTCGGTTCTAGGTCCAGTGCTGACTCGGAATCAACAGCTTGGGAAGCGAGATCAAGATGCTGATTAACATTTTCGCCGCTGCTTTGGGGCTATTTGCGCCTGCGAGCGCACTGCTTCGATTCGGCTGCTCGGGTTTGACCGTCCAGCGCCTAGATCCCTTGGTCAACCCAGGCATGAATCCATCTGCTCATCTCCACCAGATTATTGGAGGCGTATGTTTACCCTATTTATCGAGCTCGTGATTTTATTTTATCCTACCTAGTGGCTAATAGTATAAAGGATTCTTTCAATGCGTCGATGCCTCCTGAGACACATGATCTCGCCGCGCTTTCAACTTGTACCACCTGCCAGTTCACAGAAGATCTTTCCAACTACTGGACTGCTGTCATCTTCTACCGTGGCAAGAATGGTACTTTCAAGAGGGTTCCGCAGATGGCCCAAGCAGGCATGGAAGGCACGCAGGGCGGAATGGTGAGTACGGATCGAGCGTAATGGCTCTATGATAACTGTCTAATTCACTACAAAGGTTGTTTACTACATGACTGATGCCCTATTCGATACTGCTCAAAAATCTACAGTCACAGCTTTCAAGCCTGGCTTCCGTATGCTCGTTGGCGACTCAACCTTCCGTGACCGCGAGGAGGCCAGGAAGTGGCGCCAATTAACTTACATCTGTATGGAGAATCAGGGCACCCGTGCTCCTGAGAGTATCGGGTTCCCTACGAGGCCTTGCCCTGGGGGTATAATGGCAAACCATCGCTTCCCTACGTGAGTATTCTACACGTGTGTATATGTTGAAATGATCTGACGAAGTATAGTTGCTGGGACGGCAAGAACCTAGATTCTCCTAACCATCAAGACCACGTCGCGTACCCCGAGAGTGGTACTTTCGAGTCGGGTGGCCCGTGTCCTTCTACGCACCCGGTCAGGCTCCCTCAAATACTTCTCGAGACGGTCTGGGACACCAGGGCCTTCAACGACCCAGCAGACTTTGCCGACGGCAAGCAGCCCTTCGTCTGGTCGACGGGTGACGCTACTGGCTATAGTAGCCATGCCGACTACATGTTTGGCTGGAAGGATGATTCCCTCCAAAAGGCCATGGATGGGCACACGTACGTCTCTGCTCCGATGCTCAAGACGCAAAGTATTTCCCAGCAGAATAAATGCAAAGTTCCCGATATGGTGGGAGAGGATATCGATAGCTGTAAGTAACAGAATATGCTTTCAAAGGTTGGGATTAGGTATCTAATTTCTCATAGGGTTGACTGCCCTACCCGGTGCAAATCCGGTTATGTAGGAAACGATTCTTAGGATACCTACGAAGTACGGGCTACGGGAAACGGACAATTTGGCGCGTGATCTACCTACCAGTTAATTTCTTATCAATTTGGCAAACTCTGGAAGTGTTCTTCGTTGCTTAGGACGTATTCTGATTTGATTTAATGGCGTTAGTGACATTTACAAATCTAAGTCCCTCGAGGAACAAACCGCATTGATTAAAAATGTACGCCTTCTTATTGGCTCAATTATCTCACCTTTACACGTCTTCGACCTCATGTTTCTTTGTGGATCAGACGGACGTTGAAAAAGGTGGCACCCCTATCAGGATACTAATACTGTCAGTAGAGGCGCGCCAGTTATTTAGACGCCTTTATGTAGACTTTTCGAATGACGATGCAATAATAGGTACCTAAATAGGCTGGTAGGTAATTCATGTCAACCTATTTTAGTACCGCTGCTATAAATACTACTGATAGTAAATTTTGACTGGTTACTAAGTCGTTAGCCTCTATTTTAGCCCCTATTTATTGTTCAGAAATCAACAACGGTATATGTAGCAGGATAAGGTAATTAGATACAAAGAAATACCAGCTGAATTATTTAGATTACGGGGAAAACACACTGGGGATCATGGTCATGATGTTGTCTTGTGGTTCAGGGGGAAGGAACCACGGACACGTTGAAGAAGCATCTAACGTACCTAGGTACATACATGTAGGTAAATGACAGGAGGATCAGGTATGTTAATATGCGATCTTGAACTATTTAAATGCGCTTGTGATTTTAGTCTAAATTACTAACGACTTGTTAGAACCCCTTAATCATCATTGGTTTTTTTTTTTTCTTTTTTTTAAAGATATCAGATTTCCGTGGCTGGTGGGTATAGCTCAGCACTTAATGCAGCGCTGTAGTAAATTATTACTGTATGAGGGAAGCCAATGTTATATAGTTTTTTAAACTAATTGATTACTAAACTAGTTGCCTACGAGAATATAGTTTAGAACCTAGCAAAAATAAAAAATAACTGAGTCCATCAAGATCGCCACCTGACATCTTCATACCTTACAACTGCCAACGATATCTTCCGGCTTCGATCCTCTTCTTTTCTCACTAGCTCCTAAGGCAGTACCTGTGGTTATGGTGCCTAGGTACGTTAGTATCATGTAACTCCACGCATGAAAGAGAATAAATAAAATCTTAGAGATGCCCTGATCACGTAAATACAACAGACACCTTCTACAGTAGAGAGGCCCCGTAGTCCCAAGATTCCCCCTATATTGTTGATTTTTCTACAGCACTATGTTGTTCTCTTAGCTGCCTACATGTAGGTACCTTAGGTACTTATCATCTTCTAGAAGTGTGGTTGCCTGATCTCTCTCTCGCACCTTCCTCATCTACCTAGAGGTAACCTTAGGCATGTACGTTATGGTAGTTTGCAATGTTACTGTATCAAATCAGTACACACACAAGCATAGGCCATATTATCTTTCAGCGCAAGAGATGCCTGTAAGGGCAAGCTAGAATCACCTTTTACTTCTGTATTGATTCTACCTTAGGTACATACCTGCATAGAGCTATGTAAAGCTAAGTACCTACATAAATGTAAATAATACATACATGCATGTCTCATGGTTGATTTAGGTTTTAGGTTCAATTGGAAGCGACGACGTTGATTAGGAAAGCACTTTGCCTTATGTACCAGACTACTTCATACATTTTGTCAAAATATTGGCAGTTGCTAGGCGTTGAATCCAGCAGCCGCCATCCATATAATGCAACCTCCTCCTCCCTCGCATTACAACAACTTTTGTGTCCCAGCCTCTACCCCTTCTTCACCTTTTACCAGGTAGTCCCGCCTATCAAACAACACAGATCAACCAAGGCGGATGTCGACACATCCAACGGCCTTATCTTCCTCAAGTTACACAGGGCTGATCTAGGAGTCAACACCTTCTTCACACTTCCTGCGGAAAGAGTTCATAACAACCAGAGTAAGTGACCACTCAACATCGTTGGATTCTTTTTTTCTTTTTAGCTTTCTCCTTTGAGATACCTCAATTCATGACATGTTAATTCACAAGAGCACAACACCTCGTCCTCCTCTAACTCTTCCAACTCCTCTGAGACAGCCATTCCCACTCTCCTAATTTTGCTTCATCCTCTCTCATTTTACCTCCTGCTCTATTATCATCTATCTGCCTTATACGAAAAACATTCTATCCTGGGTCGGAATCGCGAAATTTGGTCACATATCACCACACTTCCATACTCCAGCCATACTCCAACAAGCAGTTATTTACGATATCGGACCCCCATATCTTCATTCGATTTTCCCACCGCCCTGAATCAAATGATACCCCAACCTTGCCTTGGTCATATCACCCTAATTCATCTGATATATCCTTCCTTCATTTGAGTGGCCACTTTTCTACTACCACTTACTGGACGCCTCCTTACATATTTCGGACGGCCGCAATTCGGACGGAGATCATATCATTGGAGATTTGAATTGCTCTACACCATCTACAAGCGATAGAAGATTCAGGCGGATCACTAATTAGTAATTCAGCAGTTTTGACTCCTCAACCAGAGAATCAGTCCCTCTGGTTAAGATATAGGACTGCGACTCAACCGCCCAAGAGATCCGAACCTTACCCCTTGACCAAGGTCGTGGTATCTAGATTCTGCATACCAACCTTGCG